CGGTAATGAGGGAGTTCTCGCTCTATTAGTTCATGCAAGAGCTGGTTGTTTAAAACAGCCTGGCATCTCTCTTGCTCCCTCTCGCCAATGACATGCCGCCCCCTCTTGCCTTCTGTCATGACTGGAAGCTTCTTGAAGCCTCACCAGCAGGAGATGCTGGCACTATGGTTCTTGTACAGCCTGCAGAACTGTGAGCCAAACAATCTCTTTTCTATATAAATTACCCAGTCTTGGATGTTCCTTTAGAGCCAGCCTCCAAGGTGACTTCCCCATCTCCTGGTATTTCCTCCCTCTCACATTGCATAGAGCTAACCAGTGTAATGCTAGGATACTGTGGAAATAATGGAGTGTAACTTCTTTTTTTCTTTTTCTTTTCTTTTTTTTTTTTTTAAAGACAGAGTTTTCACTCTTGTCCAGGCTAGAGGGCAGTGGCGTGATCTCAGCTCACTGCTACCTCCACCTCCCGGGTTCAAGCAATCCTCCTGCCTCAGCCTCCCAAGTAGCTGGGATTACAAGTACGCACCATCACACCTGGCTAATTGGTTTATATTTTCAGTAGAGACAGGGTTTCACTATGTTGGCCAGGTTGGTCTCAAACTTCTGACCTCAGGTCGTCCACCTGCCTCAGTCTCCCAAAGTGTTGGGATTACAGTTGTGAGCCACTGTGCCCGGCCTGAAGTGTAACTTTTGAGGCTAAGTCCTAAAAGACATCATGGTTTCTTCCTCTCTCATGGATCACTCTTTGTGGGAGAAGTTTACCCACCAAGTCCTGAAGACATTGAATCAACCCTATGGAAAGATCCATGCAGTAAGGAACTAGGCCTCCTGCCAACAGTCATGTGAGTGAGCCATTGAGGAACTGGATCTCCCAGTGCTGGACAAGCCCTGGCTGACATGCTGATCACAACCTCATGGGAGATACTGAGTTAGGATCACCACATGGAGGTGGTTCCTAATCCCTGATCAACAGAAACGGTGGGATAATCAATGTCCATTGTTTTTTGTTTGTTTTTCTTGTTTTTTGTTCTGTTTTTGTTTTTGAGATGCAGTCTTGCTCTGTCACCCAGGCTGGAGTGCAGTAGTACTATCTCAGCTCACTGTAACCTCCACCTCCTGGGTTCACGCGATTCTCCTGCCTCAGCCTCCTGAGT